AATGATCTTCGTAGCAGTTTTATATTCTTTTTTTTCTTATCTATTTCCTACTGCTCTATCTTCTCGATTTCTTTGACACAATTTACTCTCCTATGGACAATTTTCATATGATTTTATAGTAGTATGACATTAATCGAATGTAAGAATGTATTTCCATAAAACATTTCTCTAAACAGAAATATATTATAAGAGAACTTTTTAACATAACTAAAGCACCAGCTTGGTTTAAATCAGCACAAACGAATATCTTAACTATTGATTTAATCAAAAACGAAACTTTCTCTTATCTGGACATTTGGATTTTAACTCTTTGTTTCGAGAGCATTGGACCGTGGAAAAAGTATAAGTTAGCGTTTATTTTCCGAGAATATTGATTATTTAAGATCCTAATCATTACAAATTCTACTTCAACTAGAATTATTCGTTCATTTAGATGAAATAAAACTAGTTTATCTGTTCATTTAGTTAATGAATTTAGCTATTTACAGATATATGTCGATTAAATCATCAAATTTTATAGAATCATCAAATGAAAATTTCCATTTATGATTGAATAAAATTCTTATTTGCTTATTGTTTTAACAGAAAAGAACATTTTATATATTATAGAAATGTTTGAACGAACGTAACTACAAATGATTATTTGAAATCTATTTATTTCTATCAGTTGCATTTCCAGTTGAAAGTGATCAAGACAATTTAACACAAACTATTACGAAAAGAATAATAACAATCGAAATGTAATATAGATAGACAAAAAATCCATGAAAATATCATTAAACTATATTTTTTAGTCGTTTTATTTCCATCAATTCAAACATAATTATTAAATTCTTCTTTTTGTTGTTATTTTGTCAGGAAAGAATAATCACAGAAAACAAACTTACTTAATGAACTATTGTCAAAATCATACATACTATTCATAAGAAAGTTTCATGTCAATAAAACAGCTAATATCGTTCTAGAACATTGTTTATCTTTGTTTTTATACTTCTACTTATATATTTATCTGTTAAAATAATTAATAAATGACGATAAAATTTAAATAACTTATTAAGAATTATCTTCCACTAGAAAGATAGATATGAAATAAATGAATTGAAACAAAAAAGGAACCATCTTATTCCCGTTGAGAAATTTTTGTTCTTAAAGTTTACTCAGTGAACATATAGCGATGAATCATCCAATCAATGCCGAATATGCACTAATCGAGTTTTCGTAGAGCCACAAGATAAAATTAGCAGAGAAAAATTTTAAAAAGAATTCTGTGTCAAATAGTTTATTTTTTTTTGTTTCGATGGAATTATTTCCATGCAATTGACGACGTTACATTATAGTGCTCTGCGGTTCCTAATATTACCCAGGAGCCGAATCGGAACTGACGGTTCCGGTTCCCATTTCGGTTCTACCCGTTTGTTCCACGGCTCCCGTTCCGAGTAATAGAAACAGAAATATCCGGTTCCCGGTTCCAAAAAATTAGAACCACAGGGTTCTATTCCTTATAGACCTATCTCTTTATCATCTTGCCCCCTTATTGCCTTACCCACTTTACACGCTTACTCTTTTACAGCCTTAGCCCTTATAGTGTTCACCCTCATAGGTTATATCCTTATAGCCCTTTCTCCTTATCCCCTATAACATTATACTCTTAAGCCTTACCCAATTATAGTCCTACCGGTCTGTAGTCTTATCTCTTTATAGCTTTATCCTGTTACAGCCTTATCCTTCTACAGCTTTATCCTTCCCCTTCCAGTCCACGCCTCTATAGCCTTACCCCTTATAGCGTTATCCGCCTATACTCTTATTAAACCTTTAAACTTTGATCTGGTACAGACAGACACTGAATATTATATGTATGGAAGATTCTCTTACTACCTGCAGGACCTATAGGTACTCCTATATAATAGCTCTTAAGGACCTATTGGTACCCCTATAATATAGCCCTTGAGGACCTCTGAGTACTCCATAGGACAGCGCTTAGAGACCTATGAGTATCCCCAATATAGTGGCCCTTGGGAACTTCCCCTTATAGTCTTATTTGATCTTAAATCTTTGACATTTGACTGGACACAGAGAAACACACAGACACTGAACATTATGCATATATATATATAGATAGATAGATTGGAGAAAAAGATAAGCTCTTGTCTCCTCTTTCGATTGGTGAAAATCGCAGGTCTCTAGCTGTTAGCGTTCTTGAGTTATTCAAAAAAACAATGAAGTACAAGCTATTTTGAAATGAATAATAGAAATTATTGAATGATATTCCAAATCTAATAATGGCATAAACGCTTTTTTTTTGCAAGACTATAAAATGGTAAATATTCGTAAAATAGATCTAAATAAATTTTTTCAATTAATACTTTAGCTTATTTTCTTATTCGAATTACGTTGTTGAAGCATTTCATATTTGTCGTTCTTACTTAGAACTTAGTTAAAATAGGAAAAAATTTTGGACAGAACACGTTTCATACAACACGCGATATTAATAAATGTAATTCTTTACTGCTGCCCTTTATTATTTGTTTCTTTCAAAAATCATTGGAATTCGAACTTGTTACCAAAATATCATCGATTGTTAATATTCAAAGGATCCAAAAACTTCGTGATACAAGTACTTTAAATAAAGTTTATGGTGAATTGACAGATGAAAATGTGTGTGATACTAGTTTTCAAACATAAATATTTATCTTAAAAAATTTATTTCAGTTAAAAATTCCACTCTTGCCTTTAACTATTTGCTTTGGGATAAATGAAAGATTTTGCTTTGTTGTTTTTTCCAATGTAGAAAATTCGTGAATTAGTCTTATTGATTATTTACTTGTGTTGAAACCTGTCATAGAGACGTAATTATCAATGAAAAAGTATGAGCAAAAATGGCTCGGTTAATATAGATCTTGTACATGATTCAATTGATTCTTATAGCAAGTTAATCGTTTGTTTTTTTTTATAAATAATGCGATACGTATCTTGATCGATCTGATTATGATTAGGACATTTAAAACATAAATCAACATTTCTTCTTAACTATTTATTTATTTAAAAAATATCATCTTTATTTTCGTAGATGGAACATCAAAAAAAAATAACAATCATACAAAGAAAAGATTGAACAGTTTTTCATAGACCACCAACAATTACTTATTTTAAATCTTAAGAATCACCACCAGCATCATCACTAGTAACATTTTGATTGTTAAAATCGTCCTTGGGGTGTAGATATGGATGTGGGTGTGTGGGTGTGGGTGCGGGTGTTGGCGTGGCAGTGTTGGACAACTTCGGGTGTATGCCGCTCTAACTCCAGGTAATTCCACTCCTATTTTCAAATATTCCACTCCAACTTCAACTCCAACTCCATCTATTACTTCTACAACTCCAGGTAACTCCACTTCTATTTTGAAAAATTCTCCTCCAACTCCAGCTCTATCTATGCACCGCTCCAACTCCATGTAACTCCAGTCTTATTTTCAAAAATTCCATTCCAACTGCAACTTCAACTCTTGGTTTATTTTTTAACTCCGCTCCAACTCCAACTCGGCCTTGTTAAAATGCATCTTCAACTCCGATTTAACTCCAATTCAACTTCGATCCTACTAAGTCAAACTCATCTGAATAAAAGTTTATAAAGATAAGTTTTTCAATATAAATCTATGAGTAATATCAATGAGTTGCAGGTTTATTATCGTTTTTTTAGAATTTTTACTATACACTTGAAATATCAGCCCAACAAGTCAAGATTACATTTAATAAATGTTAATTTATATAGCATGTCTTTTGATAATCGATTTCGATGAGGTCTCATCAATAATCCACTTTTTGAAAAGACCCGTTCCACAGGCACAGCCATAGCTGGAACACAAAACTTTCAATGCTAAACGGTGTAAATGTGGAAAATGATTTTTTGTAATGAAAATAAGATCAGATTGATAACGTTCATCTTTCAAATATAGCATAATTTTTTCATTGATTTCATCCATAATATTAATACGCATTTTTTTGGAAGCACTTGTGATGCTTCACAATAAGTAAACAGATTCTTTCTTTTTGGTGTAAAGCTATTGTCAAAAGAGTCTTTTCCACCAAATTGACTGTTGTCAATAGTTGCTGATGTTGTTTCTGCCTCTGCACTAACAGCATCTTGAACATTAGCAGCAGAATCATGAATTTGAAAAGCTGCTTCTACGACCATGCGTTTGATCTTGTCACATAAACGATTTCTAAAACAACAAATATATTAATCTTTTGTATTTCAATATATCGTCAGATGTTATGTATTCTTTAAAAATTTTGTAAACTAATAAAGGACGAAAGATAAAAAAAAGATAGGATAGCTTATAAAATATATACCAATAATTGCGAGACTTACTTTGTATCTTGAGGTAAAGCCAATCGTAAGATCCAACGAAGCCGAGATTGTCCATAAAAAAAAGGAAATCAAAAATATAGCATCTGAGAAAAGATGAAATATACTCTGACGTTATAAATGATCATCGACTGGTTTTTCAAGATTAAGTAGAAGACCACCAAATCTTTCTTTTACTGATTTAAAAAGTGTATTACATATTGAACTTGTATATTTGTATAATTTTAATTCATTTTCTAAATCATAATATATTTCAACTATACTTAGTGTCACAAGTGATATAAACACATTTTTCAGCTTGTGTTCGAGTAGTAGCCTCGATGAATAATGTAAAAATTGAGATATATTCATGTAATACAGCTAAATCTTTCATCGAAAGTACTGATTCACCTGTTTTTTTGTTCTGTTAGAAGGTCATTTAGAAATATTTTAGGTATGTCAACAATTTTTGAAACTGTAATAAACTGTGAATTCCATCTAGTTATAACAGCTAATGGAATACTTAGTTTAAACTCCTGTAGCTTTTCGGCTACTGCAATACTTCTGTGGCTTAATTTCGCAATCTCGGCCACTTTTGCTATTGCAGATCGAATGCATGCACTTTCATTTAAGCCATCTTTGACTGCAAGCTGCAATTTGTGAATCAAACATGGCAGTCTTAATAATTCCTCACATTTGTCAAATTCATTTTGACCTTCATCATCCTCAGCACTTCCTTCTGTATCATCTTCAGTTATGAAATATGACTCGAAACCTGGTATAACTAATTCACCGAAAGCAGATATATTATTTGACACATTATCTGTTATAAGTCGAATAATTTAATTTGCAATTGAAAATGCTGTTGAAACACGATCATATTCCATAAACAAATTTTCATCAGTATGATTACCTACAATATTTCATTAAATTATATAGGAAACGAACGGATCATTATTTATAGTCGAATTCACAAGCGAATGATTCCTTTTATTGAAATACAAGAGATTATTCCAAGGGGGAAAAACTCATTCCGAGCCATTCGAATGGCTAGGAATGGATCGGAATGGCTAGGAATGGATGGGAATGGATAGGAATGGATGGGAATGCCCGAATGAGATTTTTCCCCCTTGGATTATTCTGTCTATTTTATTTTTGAATTTTTGTTAGATATACTTGAATGCACTGGAATGACTCTGATTATTTATTTTCTTTCTTCTCGTCTTCATATTCTGTTTTGCTTTTCAATTCTTATATGTCGTCTATGCAGAAATAGATGCATAATAGATCGTTTTTTTTTTACATAACAAATCATCCCTTTCATTTCTCTTACGCAATCGTTTTTTGCGTATAAGCACAAGTCATCAAAAAAACAAATAATATTCATTCTCGTTTCGTTTTCTTAAATCAATGTACACGATATTCAAATTAAGGATATGCTCTCAGATGACCTTTCATTTGTCCTCGCTTTTTCTTCTGTTTCTCTCTTATCTTCCTGCTCTCTATCCCTAGATACATCCTTCTTTATCTTGTGTATAAAATGACTTACTGAATGCATCCGAAGGTATATAACTTGTTTGCTTAAAATATAACAAGAATTCTAATTAGAAAATAGTTTTTAATTTGGATACATCTTATGAATATACAAAAGAATGAGGTATATTTCATAATATTATACGAAATATTATATATATTCTTCAAATTTGAGCTCATGGCATGTCTATCTTGCTCATTTTTAAATGGACAAAAAGGAGAATGAAACATTTATCTTAAGCCTTCGTGTGATTTCATGAGAAATCACTTTAGTTTTAATATAAATCGAATAAGAAATCTTACCAGAAAGAGGATTAAAACCGAGCAAATGTGTTTTTAATTGTTCCATTTGATCAATATAATGCATTTTAACAGCATAAAACGTTTGCAAACGACGATCTGTCCAGCCATCAAATGTTAATGAGAGAAAATCAGCTAATGAACATGCATTTTTCAATTTGTTGATAATCTGCTCATGTAATTTTGATAAATAATCAGATGTGATCGACCGTCGAGATGGAATACGAAATTTTGGATCAACTGTATTCATAGCTTGAATAAATGCAGGTTTTTCAGTAATTGATAATGGTAAATCTAGTGCAATGATAAAGTCATTAAAAACCATTCGGGTTAATTCCACTTGACGAGGATGAACTGATCCATATTTTGATATATGAGAAGACGAAGGTAAACGAGAATACTTCCTATTCCCAAAAGTTACACATTCCTGCATCGCCTTTTGACACGCAATCATTTACCATCAATTCCGGAAAAGCAAAAACGATCCTATGCAGCAATTCCGGGTGATTCCTGCATATTGCGAAATTACAAACATGTCATGGATGCCTAAATGATCATTTCTCCCCCTTCAAGAAATGCAAAGCGGAATTCCGGAATTTGTGCACANAAACTTTTTGTTCTTAAAGTTTACTCAGTGAACACATAGTGATGAATCATCCAATCAATGTCGAATATGCACTAATCGATTTTTCGTAGAGCCACAAGATAAAATTAGCAGAGAAAAATTTTAAAAAGAATTCTGTGTCAAATAGTTTATTTTTTTTTGTTTCGATGGAATTATTTCCATGCAATTGACGACGTTACATTATAGTGCTCTGCGGTTCCTAACATTACTCAGGAACCGAATCGGAACTGACGGTTCCGGTTCCGGGTGATAGAAACGGAAATATCCGGTTCTCGGTTCCAAAAAAATTGGAATCGCAGGATTCTACTCCTTAGAGCCCTACCTCTTTATCATCTTGTCTCCTTATAGCCTTACCCACTTTACACGCTTACTCTTTTACAGTCTTAGCCCATATAGTGTTCACCCTCATAGGTTATATCCTTATAGTTCTTTCTCCTTATCCCCTATACCATTATACTCTTAAGCCTTACCGAGTTATAGCCCTACCGCTCTGTAGTCTTATCTCTTTATAGCTTCATCCTCCTCCCTTCCAGTCCACGTCTTTGTACCCTTACCTCTTATAGCGTTATCCGCCTATACTCTTTTTAAATCTTTAACCTTTGACCTGGTACAAACAGACACTGAATATTATATGTATAGAAGATTCTCTTACTATCTGCAGAACCTATAGGTACTCCTTATACAATAGCTCTTAAGGAATTATTGGTACCCCTATAATATAGCCTCTGAGGACCTCTGACTAATCATAGGGCAGCGCTTATAGACCTATGAGTACCTCCATAGGATATCTCTCGAGGTCCTATGAGCATCCCCAATATAGTAGCCCTTGGGAACTTCCCATTATAGTCTTATTTGATCTTTAACCTTTGACTGGACACAGAGAAACACACAGACACTGAACATTATATACATAGATAGATAGATAGATTGGTGAAAATCGCAGATCTCTAGCTGTTAGCGTTCTTGAGTTATTCAAAAAACAATGGCGTACAAGCTATTTTGAAATGAATAATAGAAATTATTGAATGATATTCCATATCTAATAATGGTATAAACGCTTTTTTTTTGCAAGACTAAAAAATGGTAAATATTCGTAAAATAGATCTAAATAAACTTTTTCAATTAATACTTTAACTTATTTTCTTATTCGAATTACGCTGTTCAGGCATTTCATATTCGTCGTTCTTACTTAGAGCTTGGTTAAAATAGGAAAAATTTTTGAACCGAACACGTTTTATACAACACGCAATATTAATAAATGTAATTCTTTACTGCTGCCCTTTATTATTTCTTTCTTTCAACAATCATTGGAATTCGAACTTGTTACCAAAATATCATCAATTGTTAGTACTCAATGGATCCAAAAACTTCTTGATACAAGTACTTTAAATAAGGTGTATGGTGAATTGACAGATGAAAATGTGTGTGATACTAGTTTTCAAACATAAATATTTATCTTAAAAAATTTATTTCAGTTAAAAATTTCACTCTTGCCTTCAACTATTTGCTTTCAGATAAATGAAAGATTTTGCTTTGTTTTTTACCATGTAGAAAATTGGTGAATTAGTCTTATTGATTATTTACTTGTGTTGAAATCTGTCATAGAGACGTAATTATCAATGAAAAAGTATCAGCGAAAATGGCTCGGTTCATATGGGTCTTGTACATGATTTAATTGATTCTTATAGTAAGTTAATCGTTTGTTTTTTTTTATAAATAATGCGATACGTATCTTGATCGATCTGATTATGATTAGGACGTTTAAAACGTAAATCAACATTTCTTCTTAACTATTTATTTATTTAAAAAAAAATCATCTTTATTTTCGTACATGGAACATCGAAAAAAACTAACAATCATACAAAGAAAAGATTGAACCGTTTTTCATAGACCACCAACAATTACTTATTTTAAATCTTAAGAATCACCACCAGTACCATCACTAGTAACATTTTGATTGTTAAAATCGTCCTTGGGGTGTAGATATGGATGTGGGTGTGTGGGTGTTTGTGTGGGTGTGGGTGTGGGCGTGGCAGTGTTGGACAACTTCGGGTGTATGCCGCTCCAACTCCAGGTAATTCCACTCCTATTTTCAAATATTCCACTCCAACTCCAACTCCAACTCCATCTGTTACTTCTACAACTCCAGGTAACTCCACTTCTATTTTGAAAAGTTCTCCTCCAACTCCAACTCTATCTATGCACCGCTCCAACTCCATGTAACTCCACTCTTATTTTCAAAAATTCCATTCCAACTGCAACTTCAACTCTTGGTTTATTTTTTAACTTCGCTCCAACTCCAACTCGGCCTTGTTAAAATGCATCTTCAACTCCGATTTAACTCCAATTCAACTTCGATCCTACTAAGTCAAACTCATCTGAGTAAAAGTTTATAAAGACAAGTTTTTCAATATAAATCTATGAGTAATATCAATGAGTTGCAGGTTTATTATCGTTCTTTTAGAATTTTTACTATACACTCGAAATATCAGTCCAACAAGTCAAGATTACATTTAATAAATGTTAATTTATATAGCATGTCTTTTGATAATCGATTTCGATGAGGTCTCATCAATAATCCACTTTTTGAAAAGACCGGTTCAGCAGGTGCAGCCGTAGCTGGAACACAAAACTTTCAATGCTAAACGGTGCAAATGTGGAAAATGATTTTTTGTAATGAAAATAAGATCAGATTGATAACGTTCATCTTTCAAATATAGCATAATTTCTTCATTGATTTCATCCATAATATTAATACGCATTTTTTTGGAAGCACATGTGATGCTTCACAATAAGTAAACAGACTCTTTCTTTTTAGTGTAAAGCTATTGTCAAAAGAGTCTTTTCCACCAAATTGACTGTTGTCAATAGCTGTTGATGTTGTTTCTGTCTCTGTACTAACAGCATCTTGAACATTGGCAGCAGAATCATGAATTTGAAAAGCTGCTTCTACGACCATGCATTTGATCTTGTCACATAAACGATTTCTAAAACAACAAATATATTAATCTTTTGTATTTCAATATATCGTCAGATGTTATGTTTCTTTAAAAATGTTGTAAACTAATAAAGGACGAAAGATAAAAAAAAGATATGATAGCTTATAAAATATATACCAATAATTGCGAGACTTACTTTGTATCTTGAGGTAAAGCCAATTGTAAAATCCAACGAAGCCGAGATTGTCAATCCAAAAAAGAAGAAATCAAAAATATAGCATCTGAGAAAAGATGAAATGTACTCTGATGTTTTAAATAATCATCGACTGGTTTTTCAAGATTAAGTAGAAGACCACCAAATCTTTCTTTTACTGATTTAAAAAGCGCATTACATATTGAACTTGTATATTTGTATAATTTTAATTCATTTTCTAAATCATAATATATTTCAACTATACTTGGTGTCACAAGTGATATAAACACACATTTTTCAGATTGTGTTCGAGTAGTAGCCTCGATGAATAATGTAAAAATTGAGATATATTCATGTAATACAGCTAAATCTTTCATCAAAAGTACTAATTCACCTGTTTTTTTGTTCTGTTAGAAGGTCATTTAGAAATACCTTAGGTATGTCAACAATTTTTGAAACTGTAATAAACTGTGAATTCCATCTAGTTATAACACCTAATGGAATACTTAGTTTAAACTCCTGTAGCTTTTCGGCTACTGGAATATTTCTGTGGCTTAATTTCGCAGTCTCGGCCACTGTTGCTATTGCAGATCGAATGCATGCACTTTCATTTAAGCCATCTTTGACTGCAAGCTGCAATGTGTGAATGAAACATGGCAGTCTTAATAATTCCTCACATTTGTCAAATTCATTTTGACCTTCATCATCCTCATCACTTCCTTCTGTATCATCTTCAGTTATGAAATATGACTCGAAACCTGGTATAACTAATTCACCGAAAGCAGATATATTATTTGACGCATTATCTGTTATAAGTCGAACAACTTTATTTGCAATTGAAAATGCTGTTGAAACACGATCATATTTCATAAACAAATTTTCATCAGTATGATTACCTACAATATTTTATTAAATTATATAGGAAACGAACGGATCATTCTTTATAGTCGAATTCACAAGCAATTGATTCCTTTCATTGAAATACAAGAGATTATTCTGTCTATTTTATTTTTGAATTTTTGTTAGATGTACTTGAATGCACTGGAATGACTCTGATTATTTATTTTCTTTCTTCTTGTCTTCATATTCTGTTTTGCTTTTCAATTCTTATATGTCGTCTATGCAGAAGTAGATGCATAATAGATCATTTTTTTCTTTTACATAACAAATCGTCACTTTCTTTTCTCTTACGCAATCGTTTTTTGCGTATAAACACAAGTTATGAAGAAAAAAAATAATATTCATACTCGTTTTGTTTTCTTAAATCAATGTACACGATATTCAAATTAAAGATATGCTTTCAGATGACCTTTCATTTGTCCTCGCTTTTTCTTGTGTTTCTCTCTTATCTTCCTGCTCTCTATCTCTAGATACATCCTTCTTTATCTTGTGTATAAAATGACTTATGGAATGTATCCGCATGTATATAACTTGTTTGCTTAAAATATAACAAGAATTCTAATTAGAAAATAGTTTTTAATTTGGATACATCTTATGAATATACAAAAGAATGAGGTATATTTCATAATNATTCCACTCTTACCTTCAACTATTTCCTTTGAGATAAATGAAAGATTTTGCTTTGTTTTTTCCCATGTAGAAAATTAGTGAATTAGTCTTATTGATTATTTACTTGTGTTGAAACCTGTCATAGAGACGTAATTATCAATGAAAAAGTATGAGCAAAAATGGCTCGGTTAATATGGATCTTGTACATGATTCAATTGATTCGTACAGTAAGTTAATCGTTTGTTTTTTTTTTATAAAAAATGTGATACGTATCCTGATCGATCTGATTATGATTAGGACGTTTAAAACGTAAATTAACATTTCTTCTTATCTATTTATTTATCTTTTCTTTTAAAAAAAATCATCTTTATTTTCGTAGATACAACATCAAACAAAAAAAACAATCATACAGAGAAAAGATTGAATAGTTTTTCATAGACCACCAACAATTAGTTATTTTATATAATAAGAATCACCACCAGCACCACCACTAGTAACATTTCGATTGTTAAAATCGTCTTTTAAATATCCAATATGGTTGCGTAAATCACGCCTACCACTTGTTAAATTAGCCATATCCTCATGTAATTTCTTCATGTTCTGGTTCAAACTGCCAACATTGGTAGTTAATTGTTTAATAGTATTTGTTAAATGATACAATTGACGACCGATTCGTATATTTCGATCATAAACAGATGTTGATGAATCAATTTGAATATTTGAACCATTGCTAGATGTTGTTCGATTAATTCGACCACCTGGTTCATCACTATATGGTGATGGTGATGAATATGAACGATTATCAATTTCAGTACCACTACCAACATTAGATGTCATAGAAGAAACTTCTTCAGCATCTGGATTCTTTTCATACTTGGGTGGAATAACCACGTCCATAATATCACCAGCACCGTGCTTCTCGCCAATTGTATCTGACATAATACGAGACTTTGAAAATAATCACAAAGAATGAAATTAGTTTCCATTTTAAGCAGTATTTATCCTCTATTAAACATAATTTAATGATTGGTTTCTCACAACGCGCTACTACTTGGGAGCTATAATCAACGCCATTTCGTCTGCATTATTAATTCTGTTTTTTTTATTGGTGACTACGAGAGAAATACATGACTCATATCTTTTTTTCTTTCTTCCACATAATCTTATTGATTATTTACTTGTGTTGAAACCTGTCATAGAGACGTAATTATCAATGAAAAAGTATGAGCAAAAATGGCTCGGTTAATATGGATCTTGTACATGATTCAATTGATTCGTACAGTAAGTTAATCGTTTTTTTTTATAAATAATGCGATACGTATCCCGATCGATCTGATTATGATTAGGACGTTTAAAACGTAAATCAACATTTCTTCTTATCTATTTATTTATCTTTTCTTTTAAAAAAAATCATCTTTATTTTCGTAGATGGAACATAAAAAAAATAACAATCATACAAAGAAAAGAATGCATAGTTTTTCATAGACCACCAACAATTACTTATTTTAAATCTTAAGAATCACCACCAGCACCACCACTAGTAACATTTCGATTGTTAAAATCGTCCTTTAAACATCGTATATCATTACGTAAATCACCCATACCACTTGCTATTTTCACCATATCACCATGTAATTGATTAATGTTCTGGTTCAAACTGCCAACACTGGTAATTAATTGTTTAATAGTATTTGTTAGATCATGTAATTGACGACCGACTGGTGTATTCGGATCATAAGCAGACATTGATGAATCAATTTGAAAATTTGAATTATCACTAGATGTTGTTCGATTAATTCGACCACCTGGTTCATCACTATATGGTGATGGTGATGAATATGAACGATTGTCAATTTCAGAACCACTACCAACATTAACTGTCATAGAAGTTTCTTCAGCATCTGGATTGTTTTCATCTTCTGGTAGAATAGCCACATCCATAATATCACCAGCACCGTGCTTCTCGCCAATTGTATCTGACATAATACGAGACTTTGAAAATAATCACAAAGAATGAAATGAAAAGAAAGATATTAGTTTCCATTTTAAGCAATATTTATCCTCTATTAAACATAATTTAATGATTGGTTTCTCACAACGCACTACTACTTGGAAGCTATAATCAACGCCATTTCGTCTGCATTATCAATTCTGTTTTTTTTTAGTGGTGGTTACGAGAGAAATACATGATTCATATCTTTTTTTCTTTCTTTCACATAATATTCATGTATCTTCTATATTATTTTATTTATTATAATTGTGATTGATTTTTTTTTAGTAATCTGAATGATGAAACTTTGCTCCTATTTAAGTCAAACTCATCGTTTTCAATCTACATCATCTGCAATTTCTCGTAGTCATTTAACAAATGATGAAATTCGTGCTTATCTTCTTCGAATATTTGCTAATGAATGTTAAAGTCAAATAGAACATATTCGTCTTGTAGAAAAAAATTGAAATCGGTGTTCAAGATCCAATTGAATCAAGAAAATTATTAATGAATAAAAATTTATCAACACCGTATCATTGTGCTCAACATTTATCATCAGTTTTAGTTGATCAATTTTGTTTAGCTTTAATTAATGATGAACATTTATGAGATATCAATCGTCCATTAGAACATGATTGTAAATTAAATTTCTTCATTCTATGGAAGAAAATTATCAAGAACAAAAACGTGCTTATTGGAGAACATGTTCATTTATTATTGTATTATATACTTGAAACAGCTTTTAAATCAAATTATAATGTTGAACTTTGTTCATTTCCACCACCACCACAATTTCAATATGGATCATTTTCTTATGACATCAAACTTAATCTTGGTAATATTTCATTTAGATTTAATTTTCAAAAGAAAATCTTGATTTAATTTTCAAAAGAAAATCTTGATTTTATTTGATACATTTAAGGAGATTGGCAACCAAGTCGTGATGATTTTCGTTATGTATCAATTCAAGCTTATAAATTATGTGATCATGATCTTCGTTTTAGATATTTAGATATAACACAAAGTGTAGCTGAAGAAATGTTTGCATATGATTGATTTAAACTTGCACGAATTCATCATATGCTTCATTTGATGTCACCATTAGATACTCAAACACGTTTATCTGTTTATCGAATAGGCGATTGTCATGTTGATATAAAACGTGGACCATTAATATCATTAAGAAAACAAATCGGAAGATTTGAATTTAGTGCTATTCATCAGATTGATATTCCATCATGTGGAGAAACAATGCAACGTGTTCAAGCACTTTCAATTCCTTCTCAACTTCACTTACATTATTGGACATTTGATTATTTATTAGAAAGAGCAAAAAAGATAAATGGAATATCCGTACCATCGTTAGCAAAGAGTAAAACATCAGATAATAAAACAGAATAATTAGAATAGTTTGCTTTGTTTTTTTCAATAACATATTGTCAAGCTATTTTTCACTTGTTATATGTTTAGTAAAACATTATTTGATTTCTTTGTTTTGAACAATTAATAAGACTAATACTTATCCTTATTATTTAGAAAACTATTTACCTGTTGTAATATCGATACCAACTGATAATTTGATGTTGCATAGTCTTATTGAAATTTAACAATTGTTTCTTGTTGATTATGTCCAGTATTTTGAGTAATAGCCTTTGGAATAATTAATAATGATTCAGCAAATGTTTGAACACCTAAACGTGCACGATCTTTTACTTGTTCCTTATATTGAGTAAGTACTTGATGAGTAACTATTTCAAAAGCATCATCACTAGGAATAATACAACCTAAACAAAAAGCTATTAGTGCAAACCTTGTGGGATTAAGATGTAGAACACCACGTCCCACTCTCTTTAGATCGTGTTTCACATAAACAACTGATAAATCTAGAAATAAAACTAATCATCTTCAGTTGCATTTGTTATTGAACAAAATCCATCACAAAGAATATCTTTCAATTGATTTAATAAGTATTTTGTTGAACCTTTGAGTAAAATTGTTACTGATTTGGGATTTTTATAACCTTCAACAAAAGTAAATTTTTCTTCACTCTAACAAACATTTCAAGTATAAAAATAAACTCAATAAATAGTAGTTTCCAGAACATGTTCATAAACATCTTCAGCAAAGCCAAGATATTCTTTTGTTAAATTTTCAAGCAAACCAATTAAAAAATAATTCGAAATTACTACGTAAAAATTCTAATTTTCCTTACTTCATAGCTTCATCATCATATGTTAAAGTCAAACGTTCCATATTTCGATGTTTAGCACGTCTTAATGCCAAGATTCCATCTTTCGCTAATACATTAAATGATAATGGGTCAATACATTTTTGATTAATGATAACAAATGATTTATTTTTCTCATCATCCGAGCAATCTTTTTCGTTTAAATTCAACTATTTTTTGAATAAGATCATCAATAAATTTACGTTCAGATGCAACAAGACGATCACATTCTTCAGCATTTTTATAAAAGAAACTACCATTAACTTCTTTGAAAGAACAAAAATATTATTATTTGATTTTATTTATCAAATCAATCACATACATTTTTTCATATTTTAATGAGACATTACAAGTTAACCTTTAAAAGCCGATGGAATTTTCTTGACATTAAGGAAAAACTGACTACTAGAATCGAGCACCTGAACCATCGATATTATCATGTTATAGTTTTAAAAAAGTATTTGTTTTTTCATATAGAGATACAGAATGTTCGTGGGAAGAGATATTCAGTCTTAACTGGTCAAATTTGTTCCTATTTTCAATTTATGTAAAAAGAGTTTTTTCTTTGAAATAATTTTATTTATTTATTTGTTTGTTACTACTTAAAAAAAACGAATTGAAACAGATCCGGGAGATAGAGCAGTAGGAAATAAATAAGAGAAAAAAGAGATACCTGCTGCAAATAACATTTTTTTTTATTTCAAACAGAAATAATGAGTGGAGATTGAAGCTTTCGTGTCCTTTCTGGACTCATCATCAGGAGCAATACGAAAGATTAATTTTATGTTGTTTGATCTTGAAGAAATACTTGTTCCAGTTAATGTGGAGAGTGTCGACCTTGATCGTAGGGTGGAGCGTCTCTCACAACATTAACTGGAACATGTCTTTCTTTACTGAATATACAGGAAGACATGAGAACAGAAACAAACAACAGGAAACAAAAACAAAATAGACAAAAAGAGGAAAGAAAGACATTGTTTGTAATAAACGTGAAAAACATTTAACACCTTCATTTGAACCATATTTCATTGATGACAAAACAGATTTAACAATTATGTCTGCTATTTTTTTTATTAATTAATATTATCACCAGAGAATAATATATGCATTAAATTATTTTTCTCTTCATTATTTTCATATTAACGTAAATAATCATCACAAAGACTTGTTAATTCATTGTAATCACCACTAAGAATATTTTCTTTATCAAGACGAATATTTGTGGATAAACTTTTAAATCTGTTTCTTGTTTTTCAATATTCGTTATTTATTATATTAAGGGTGTGGGAGTGGGTGTTTGTGTGGGTGTGAGTGTGAGTGTGCATGTGGGTGTCGGTGGGTTTGGATGTGAGTGTGCATGTAAGAGTTTTTCTTCTGCCATCCACACCCATACCTTCAGCCACACCCACATCACACACCCACTCACACCCACACACAAGTCTATATAGGTATATGTATTTCGTGAGTGATTCTTCGGAATCATTCGAACAAGTAGGACAGAGTCAAAGCCAATCGATGATTGTCTTCTTCGAAAACATGAAATCCAGATCTTGGCATTCCGAGACCAAGCCAGATAAGACTCATAAGAGTAGAAACGCGCCGTGGTAGCTTTCTACACACCCTACACCCTACTCACGAAGTTCTAATATTATATGAGAGACGAGTTGTTATTCTTATTTTACTCATGTCAGAGAAATGAAAACAAAAAGAAGGCTGTATTTGTTGGATGGTAGGTGAGATACAAACAATCAATTTTATCTTACTCAGTGAGTCTACATTGAGATAATGGAAAAAAGGTCTCCAAGCATCACATGTCGTTTTCAATTAGAAGCTATAACACAAGGAACTATATTTCAAACATGCATTCATATCGGAAAAAAACGGTTATATTTTTTGAAAAATGTAGGTTTTATAGGCATAATGCAAGTAAAATAATGTAAGTTATCGTAGATTAGGATTTTAACTTTTCCTTGCATGCTTCACCCACCAACTGACTCGAAATATGCTTTCAATAGCTCCAATTAGTGCTCGATAAGCTCTACCGATCCCGATAATGAAATTTTATAATTTGATCCCCATATATATTGGAGAAAATCTCAAACGACTGAGAATACACCCTATTTTGCGAAGTCGAACATTGTGAAATCAATTCCACCAAATTCCATGAACTCGATCATCAATGATCATGACAGTCTAAATAAGCATTTATCGAACTCCCTCAATTTTCGAAACTCTGGGATTTAGGTCACTATGGCACTACTAAAAATGACATGGAATTCAGTTTGATTCTGTTGTGACCCAATTTTCCCAATCAGTTGGAATTCCATGCAATTCTGAGTAATTCCGTAAATTTTGTGAAACTCGGTCTATGTCAATGTGGGCTATCATGGTTAGTCGTGATTGAGTTCATGGAATTGGATGGTGTTGATCCTGAAGAGACTGATTCCGAAATGTTGAACGCCGCGGAATATGATGACTGCAAACAATAGCGACTTTGACCTACAAGTTTATCATTCCACAATACTTAATTCAATGTAATAAAAAATGATTTACGAAAAAGAAAATTTTTTAATGTAAAGATGAAGTCATACAGTCTGAGTTTTTTGCTTTGTCATCCATATAGAACCATGTAGAGGACACCTAGCCCAAGCTCGTTCGACTCGAAGCTCTAGCTGAAAAGACCAATCTGAACTTATTTCAAGCTGACCGGGCCTGATTTGGCAGCGCATTTGCGATCTTGTTACCGAGTTCATTTTCGACTCGGTTTAGTCCAGCTATGGTAGAGGGCTTTGTTTTGCACAGAAGGATAGTTAAACACACCTCTTTTTATTTTAGAAATGATTAATATGATTCTCGTTTTTATTATAATTTCTTTGACAAATGTATGCATGGGTGGAAATCCTGAAGTAGATCTTGCAGTAGCTGAAATTAAAGCCTCTGGAGATATTCATGAATTAATTGGCAACTTGGATTTTCAAATTTCAAGTTATCTTGAAGACAATAAAAAGATTAAAAGAATGCACAAAGATATTGTTGTGTGGAACAAAGTTCCAGATTTAGATGTATTGAAAGACAGAACACCAAAATTAAAATTCATTAATATTGATCAAGCATTAAAAGGTTTAAAAGATATTGTACAATTACAGACAGATAAAATTGAAGACTCTGGTGATAAGCATGATGATGTTACATACGAAAGGTTTGCCTATGGTAAAATTGGAAATAGATATCTGACAATTATAATGAGCATCGAATTTGCAGAAAAGCCAAAAGGCATTATGTCATTTTTCTCAAAATTAATTGCTACTGGCATTAATGTTGCCCAAAGTTTCAGTGAAAAGTTAAGAGTCAAGTTCTATGAATGGCATTGGGATGGACCTGATGAACTTTAATGTTTTTTTTGTTAATTGTTATAGTTCTTGTTTCTATTCTATTCTATTCAATTTAGATATTTGTGATAACAAAATTTGTCAAGTTAGGAATTCTTATCATTTCTTCCTTGCAAAGTGCTTCTACACAATAAATCGAGATTATCACTAATTTTAAGAAACCAAGAAGGGAAACAATGAAGTAGAAGGGTATGAGTGTGGGTATGGTTAATTTTAAAGAGAGAATCAATACCCACACTCACACCCTCGAGTGAAAAATCAAATAATAGAAAAAGAGAATTGAGCATACCTGTCTTTTTCCAGACAACTTTTCAAATTTTGTTATTTGATTGTTCTTGGCCACTTCGCAGAAAAGAACAGAGTATATTTCCAGCATTACGCAAAGTACGATATTTGTAAAAGACTAAGCGAGAGGAGTGAAGCGTCAATGTTTATAACCAGTCTATATCATATGAACAAGACAACGAAAGCGTAAGGTATATTAAATACAATTATTTATGTATTAAATACAAACACTCAACAAAACTTCAATAATGAACGACTGATCACAACGGAAAGAGTTAAGCATACTTAATAAGACATTGTTTCTATACATATCGAGTTTTTGCGATACACTAATGCATATAGTAACATAGTGTACAGAATCGACTGGAGAAGGAAAAAATGACACAGAAGAAACAAACAGTTCGTCAAGGAAAAGAAAAAAAGGTCATGATATTTGCTTGAATTCACATGACATCGTACATATAATGCACAAAAATACGAAAGAACATGCATGAACACCGGACGAATTCGGACTGAAAGTAAATATTCATCGAGAAAGTCGAAACAAAACAATAAAATTGATATCAATCTGATTTATATATGTTTTTGCTTGTGAATGATAATGCATGAGACTTGTCATTTAAAGATTGTTATAATAACATAAACAAATGAAAAACAAGAACATGTTTCTACCAAGCATCTGTGTATCGTATATCACATTCTTCTAAAGCTGGCAATTTTTCCTAAAATAATTCAATAGTGTTTTTTGAATACAATGTTTCTGTTTTCAAATCTATACTTTTAAAGCTTTAATTGCTAAAAGAGATAAATGTGTTGAATTTAAATTAAGCTTTCGTAACATTTTCAAGTCTAAATATCCAAATAAACAGTATGGAAAACATAAAAAAACAAAAATCATAACCTTACATGCTAAATAAGTAAGACCTTTATCCGTCACTGGTGTTTCGCATAAATTAAGTACTTCTAATTGATTTAAATGTTCGGAAATTAAGTCTAAACCAACATCACCAAACTAAAATAAAATAGTATTCAATAATAATAGTGATGAATGAAAATTTTCATTATTTAACTCACTCGTGTTGACCATAAATTTAAATTTTTTAATGCTGGTAATTTAATTAAATGTTCGGCACAAGCATTTGTGACATTTGTAAATGCTAAATTTAAAGATTCAAGATTACCAAATGGACCGCTTGATAATAATATTGCTAAATCATCATCAGTCGAACGTGATGGTAATGTTAGTTCTCTTGGTCCTCCTTTTTGTTGTAATCTTTCTAATGCTCTCTGTCTTTCACATGCTTTTGCATACATTTTTAAGCCACTTGGCGTCGATTCCAGTGTTGATATTAATTGTAATTTATTATCATGATTTTCAACTGCATCCAAATCCAACATTGCACATAAAGTCTGAATAAATTTTTTTCTCTTTTCGGCATATTCAAAAATTTAATACTTACATCTAATGAACTTTGATTTTCACGTAATGCAAGTAGCATTAAAGATGATAATAATTTGTTGATACTTAATAAGAAACGTTTTCTTCGACAACAACATGAAATTAATTTACTGAGCTATAAAATGTACAGAAGAAAAAAGAAAAGTTCTTTTGTATTAAAAAATTTTCTTTACCATTAGTGAAAACGTTTCACCGTCATCATTACAAAGAATATCATTCAAACAAAACATTTCAAACCATCCGTCTTTACCTTTACGAATACCTAATACTGTTCGATGAACTTCACATCGTGTATCTTCAACGAAATTTTTAACAATATTTTTGCATGTTCTATTTTAAATACACACGAATAATATAGAAAATGATTCATTTCGAGAAAAAAAAATTACTACTCAATAAAACGATCATGTTTTAGTGCTTCATGCGGGAAAGGAACCGGTTGTAGAACTAAGCCAAGATGACGTCGCCAGTCGTAAAATGTGGATCTATATTGAAAGAAAAATTCACTTTCATTATGCTTATGAACGTTAAAACAATTCTATACGCAGTACTTTTCGAAATAAACTTCATTGATGACAAATGATAAAGATGTTTCGTACTTTGCTACTATATCAAGCTCTGACTACTAATTATAAAACTTAATTAAAATTGAAAAATAATTTTACATGATGATTACTATAATTATGTAGCCTTTTTTAAATTGGTTATAAGGATTAAGAAAAAGTACGATGCCTATACGGTCTGTTTCAGTGTCATATTTGACCATAAATGACCGTATATGACACAGTTACAATCAAAGATACGGAAAACTATAATCATCGTTCTGAGATAGACTATTTAATATTCGATATGCTATACTGACAGTAGTGGCAAAAACACAACAATCAATCCCTGTTCATTTCATACATCTGAATAGGTGGCTACGCCATTCTATTGTAGTATACCCATAGTTATTATCTTGTACTTACATTGTTTGTAAAATTTTCGTGTAACATATCAATTGACTTTCAGTTTTTTCTTCATATGCTCGACAATTTTCTTTATCTTCCAAGAGAAATCTTTTGAATAAACATGAAAATAATATATATACATATAAGCTATATGAAAAGAGAAAAAAATTTAAATATTTACTTTTTTCGATCTTCAAAAAAATGATGAATTCCAGCAAGACAAACAGAAATCAAATTTGACAGAACACGTAGAAATGGACAAATCATTGTTGGACCATGCATTCTATGATAAATAAAAATGGTTCTTCGTATAAATACACATATAAATAATTCATTACCGTTTAATAAACTCTTCTACAATACGTAAACCATCATTTTGAGAATTAAGCGCAAGTAAATATTCTTGAACAAGTGTTCTCATTTGTGGACTTCTACTAAAATCCTTTTAAAAAAACTAATCATAATTCTTTTTTGTTTTGAATCTTAATCATTAAATTTAACTGTATTATGTTTTAAAATTTTCTGAACAGTCGGTGTAAACATTTCAATTACAATTTGTGAGCGTGGACTATCACGACAATGCTAAACCAAAAAAAGAAAATAACAGTTTTCCTTTTCAAAAACTCATGATGAATATATATATATATTATTCATACTCGACTGAAGAAATCACACATTTCTGGTGACGGATAATTTTTTTCAAGTAATGGTGCTAATGCTTCGATCACATTCTCATGGACAAAATGTGATGAATCAAATTCTTGCTGTAAAAAAAATGATTATACAAAAATTTTAAATTAAAGTATAAATTAAAAGAACATTTTGTTTCTTTTCACTTGTTGTAGAATATCCGAAACAATTTCAAGTGGAAAATGATGAACTTCAACATCTTCAATTGGTGTTGTCATTGTAAAATCGATCATATTCTAAAATAATGAAAAAGCAAAACAACAAATCACATTCATATTTTTAATTAAAAATAAACTAAATTACTGTAATTTCTTTTAACAGTACTTCTGGATTGTCAGCTGAACGTAAAATATATTCAAATTTTAATTTATTTAGCTATTAAAATAAAATATACTGTATAAAAAAGAATTCAAAAGAATATTAATAATAACATACTTTCCATTGCATTGAATAGAATAATTGATTTCTTAAATCAAGTGTATTAACCTAAAACAAGAAAAGAAAAACACATTTGGTAGTGATTCAAAATTTTTTCTCGAAAAACAATAGTTGTTTTTGTTACTTGAAAAAAATAAATATGTTGATTTGTAACAATTCTTATACAAAATTGACGATGCCAATAAATTGTTTTGGATTTCGGCCACACAGATATATCTTCAATGACCGAATAAGCTATCGACTTATCCATATATTTTTCATTCTATAGAATAATAAATAATAAGCTTTCATTATCTATATACACATATGTATAATTATATAAAAACAAACCGTTGTTGCAGTTATTTCACTTTGATCAAGATTGATATGATGACTTTCCCAACGACGAAAACAATGTATTTTTTCTATACTATTTTTGGCACGATGTACACGACACACTTGAACATTACCATCAGTTAATAATTTATAACACTTTTGAACACGACGACCATTATTAGACATACAATGTGTTTCAGTTTTAGTTGAATTTGCAGTAATTGCAGTACTATTTGATGGTGATACCAGACTTATATTGTCGTTGTGTTCTGTTGAATAATAATGAGCACGGTTATCTCCAGTAGATGAAGAAAGAGAACTAATTGAATTATTTTGGAATGCAGACCTTAATTGATTTGCCATTTTATTATTAACGCTTATTAAGCAAATTTAATTTTATGAATGATTAACTTCTCGTAACAGATTAGTTAATAGTGATGCGTAATAAGATAGAAGAAGTATTTTGATTGTCTACTACTACTGCCTTTACGTTGACTTTATCTAAAAAAAAACTAAATATCAAGCAACCAGATAAACGAAAATCTGGAAGTTCGATATTGACTGATGTAAATAAATATGAAAAAGTCCAATGTAAGTTTGATAAAGAAAGTGGGTGTGGATATGGGTGTGACACAATTGCACAGTAACATGTACACCCACGAGAGACCAATGTTAGTTACATAGAAAACTACTAATGATTTCTTCGATTCTTTACATTTAACCCATTATCTCCTGTTGGGTCATTTTTGACTCATCCATAAAAACTATCTGTTTGGAATAGTAAAACATTGAAATAAGAAAGTTCTTGAACGTTGTGTAAAATCATGATTTTTCAAAAAAAGTGAAAAACTTCAGTTTCTTTTTGTTTTTTGTTGTTTTATTTGTATGGATTGATTACATGTGTGTTTGAACGATTAATATATATTACTTAGAGCATCATCTATATAACCAGAAGCTTTTAACAAATCTTTAATTCGAAACGTAGGAACGCTGTTCTTTCAAACAACTTGGGTCACAAATGACATAAAAAAACACATTTTCTGCATATATTTTGTTTTCAATATAAACTCATTATTAATAATATCTTCATGCTAAAAACATTTCTTATAACTAACAGTTAATCAATTCTTTGGTTGGTCTCACAATATTCTCGTATAGCAAATCATTGAATATATACATATTTTTCATCGTCAACATCATGTCAATATACTTTGATAATATTTCATAGAGTTACACTTAATCGAACACGAATTCTTTCTTAATAATTATATACAGGTAGTGATTTTCAAAATTGTCTTATTGTTGGTGTTTCTCTTTTCGATTTCTATTTATTTTTTCGCTGTAGTCCATCTAACTGTTCCACCTATTATTGCCTTTTATTTCTCTTCGCTTTCTCTAATATTTATATTTTTCATGTATTCCTCAATCTTCATGAAAAATGTCTATCACTATGAAACTTTAAGCTAAATCCATTGAGTTTCTATTACTTTTTGGAATTGTCTTTTGGTTTTTAATCCATTTAGACGTATTATAATCAAAAGCAGTCTGAAATAACAATGAAAACCTTTTTGGATACATATAGTGTCAAAATTCATGTCAGTTTTTGGAAACACTTCATATATATGTATAAACCTACAAAATAATTTGAAAAATATTCATGTATCCAGTGTTCTTTAAAAAATAATGTGAATATCCATATTTTATATGCTCAAAAAGATTTTAATTGTTATCTCAAAGTGTTATCGACTGTGATCCATCTAACTAGGCTATTAAGATTGAAAAAAAAAGACTTAAAAAATGTGGTAGAAACTCCACAGATTAACCCAATAACAAATATCATGTTGCGAGAACCAAAAACAACTGAACATCGAATTTAAATAGTATTAGCTATACATCACCTACCGTCGAAACCAGATGGTGATGACAATAATCTTAATCCATCAAAACAAAGAACTTGTCTTAAATATTTCAAGTATGGCTCATTTTGATGCTTTAGCACATCAGACGCCAAATACATAAATGCCTTCATGTAATATGTAATTGTCTTAAAGACTATCATCGCCAAAGAAAATTTATCACATATTATTTTGAAAAAAAAATCTTTTTCTCAAAAAGCCCATAACAACAAAGTAAGTCTAGTTTTATACAAATAGACAATCACATGATTGCAAAAAAAAACATGAAAAAATCATATTAGCAAAAAGTTCAATTTTTATGTCATTCAACGTGATTAGGTCATTGTTTGCCCCATTTTGTACTTTTACAGTGAAATAACCTCACTGAAATTTAATCAGATAAGTGTCATTTGGAGTACTCACATGATCTATTCTCATAGTTAATGCAACATCAGCTTTGTTGGTTTAGTGTCAAGTAGTAAAAGGTAACTTACTTTTCAGTTAAACATAGTACAAATGAATGCAGCAGTTTCATGCATTACGCTAACAAATATGCACATGCACACAGAGTATGATTTATTTATTGCATGTGATCATTTGTTTTCGTCACATGCTGCTGCTCTTTTTTTTTCTATCTCGTTTTGTTTATCTAATATATTCTATGTGAGTGAGTAAGAGAACGTCTATCTATCACTCAGCTTGTCGAGCGAAAAGAAAAAAGATATCTACGAACACAACACATTTATGCATGTTAATTACATGTTAAAAATAGATATATTTATATTTATTATCCATTGAAAAATAAAAGAAGAATGAATATTTTTGAAACAATTTTTGGTAGAAACAAGATAGAGATCTGCAATTTTCACTGTTTAAAAGACGAGATGAAAATGCATCGAATCATATATACCAGATTTCTCTGACAAGTTTTATCAGAGTCTATCATCAAGTTTGTTAATAATAAAACATTGAGTAATATAAAAGTTTTAGGATTTTAATTCTTAGAAGTTCATTAGAATCATTAACTAAAGATTTATAAATTATATAAGTACGATCTTGTAAAAAGTTTATCGAATATAAATTTAGAAACATTTTATGAAGTGTTATGAGTAGATTTTTCATAAAAAAAAATTGACTTTTTTTTATGATCTTTTTAAGAAACTTTGTGAAAGTTCCTGATGAAACTTGTCATAAAAATCTAGTATATACGATCTAATGTAGTTTCATCTTCTTTTTCAAACAGTGAAAACCGCAGATTTCTATCTTGTTCCTATCAAAAGTTATTCTAAAAATACTCATCTTTCTTTTATTTTGAAATGGATCAGATTCACCAACATTCATTAAACTTGATAATTGCTTGAGAAATATTCGCATATATTTCATTTTCTATGTCCTCTATCATTTTATAAGGAGAAATCTCTTGAATGGAATTTGATGTGTGTGAGTAAGCATAGAGTTTGGGTGTGGATGAACCTGAAAACTGCACGCAGTCAAAACTTGTAACGGAATAATGGCATTAAAATGATCGAAAATTACATCGTAATAATGGTGAAAAATTGTCCAAAAATAATCCCGAAAAATGTCTGCTGTAGTAACCATTAAAATGATTCAACGTTTAAAAAAATAATATATGCAAATCGAACCATGTTAATGCTATGCTTTTGTTACAATCTCTGCTTGAGTATAATATATCATTTCCCGAGGCATCTTTCAAATTAGCAGTTCAAGATAAACAATCTTCTAGTATGACTTTTTTCGATTTTTATTGTGTCAGTTCTTGCAAAGGTTTTTCTTTCCATGTTAGTTTTCCTAGTTAAGAAAATGTACGGATTGATTTCAAAATGATTAGTTCAACAACTAATCACTATGGAATCAATCCGTACATTTTCTCAACTGGGAAAACTAACATCGAAAGAAAAATCTTTGCAAGAACTGACACAATAAAAATCGGAAAAAATTATACTAGAAGATTGTTTATCTTGAACTGCTAATTTGAAAGGTGTCTCGGGAAATGATGAATAATGTTTTTATATTAAAAAGAATCTTTTGCGAAAAATTATAAGGCACCTACAAGAAAGAGCATTAAAGAAAATACATTCTTTTTTCTCAATATAAATTACGCAGATGTTTGGATAAAAAACCTATTCAATCATCCAAAGAACAATCTATTTCACTAATAAATTAAAGTCATTTCTATTGTTTCGTATGACTGGTCAACATTTGATAAAATTGAATGCATAATTTAAAATATTACATATTGACCATTTTCATACCATGTTTTAATTGTCTAATCCCTTCATAATGTTTTCAGAAGTGTTCTAACTGATAGTCTGTATCAAGTTTTTATAAATTAAGTTTCTCTTAATAAACTGTTATAAATTGTATATTTTCTCTGTTCTTTGAAGAGATAATAATAGTATGCAATACTCAAAACTCTATAAAAATGTTCAAAAAAGATATTTTTTATTATGCACTTAATTCTATCAAATTTTGTATGTACACTGAAGCACACAAATAATTTTCATTGACGAGTTAAATACACTGCTCGATAGAATTTTAAACTAAGTATTCTAGTGAAAACGAAAGCATTGTCACCTAGTCAATTATCCGAAAGAAAAATTGGAAATGTCGAACGACCTATTTTTATGGAGTTTGTTAAATAACTAACTTCTCAAACGCTACTATTTAAACGAGAACTAACATTATTTTATTTTCAATGGAATATATATATATCGATCATTAAATGAAACAAATCTATTGAGGAATTAATAAGCCGGACTAGGACGAAAGAAGTTACTTGATAATGTTAAATGTGACACCGCTAAAATTCTAGGAAACACTTTAAATCATAGGGAATAGCGCACTCTGATCTGAATAAACGATGCACACAATCTTTTCGATTTAGCTGAAACAATACTGTCACTGAAGTCTTATACTTATATCACATATAAAACTCATAACGGCATGAAATAAGCTTCTTCGTTTTGTAACGAACTGTTATAATCTGTGGCTGACGTTTCGATTTGTGATAGATATTATTCCTCGACATAATATTTAATTGTAAGACTATATTCTCAATGTTATTCCTCTTAAATTGAAAACCTTGGAGTTTTGTTCATCTATTTCATAGATATGACAGAAGAAATGTACCACATGAGAAAATCACAAAAATAATTTATTCGAAAGAAAAATTGTCAAACGTTTAAATGGCTCAAAATAAAATGATCGTTTTCAATTACTATTATTTTTTCCTTAGTGTGAAGCTTTTGAGTTGGAATATATGAAGAGTTGAATAACATGTTTAGACTAGATAGTATGCATTTTAAATGTATAGAATTCATCTTCTTTTCTTCCTGTTTGATCAGTGTTCTTTGTTTGAAGACAAAGACTACCACTACTATAAACAGACAAATTAATAGTTTGAGACGTGAATATCATGATAAAAATAAAAATTGCCTCTAGATAAAA